GCTCCCAGCCCCGTGCACCGGCCCTGCCAGCCCTGCTGCTTCAGAACTGCAGCCAGAGCGCTTCCAGGAATGCTGCCTGTATCTTAAGCAGATGTTTAAGTTCAAGCGAAAAGCTAGGGTGCTGGGCAAAATCAGCGTCCAGTGTGGCCTCGGCCCCGGAACCGAGCCCTGCTGCCCGGCGTTAACCCTCTCCTTGCCGGACCGGGTGGGTGGGAGAGGCCCTGGCAGCAGCCCTTCACGCCCGGGCCCGCGTGGGGCGGTGGCCGTGTGCGCTCGGGCCGTGAGCCAGCCCCTTTGTCGCCCTTCAGGGGTTTGAAGGCCGCGGGCTCCTGGGGACAGCAGGGCTGACGTCAGGGCTGGTTGTTCTTTCTCAGAACTTCACTGTCTCACTTGCGCAATCCCTGTCTGAAAGCAGGGGACAGCAGGAGGGCCTGGCGCGGCTCGGGGGTAACAGCCCTTCGCGTGCTTTCCGTGGAAACCCGCCCAGAAACACCAGGGTCGATGAAGGGCTGTCCTCGTGTGCGCGGGGCCTCCCTGTGAGCTCCGAGCGTGGGAAGGGAGAGCAAGCGCCGCCCTCCCTAGCGAGGAAGGGCAGGCTATCTGGAACGGCATTCACTTTCCGGCGGCCTCGCTGATTCTAAGCCGTTCAGTGCAGGCGACATTCCAGGAAGCGAAATCATGAGCCCTCAGTGAAGCAGCCCTGGCAGCTTGTCTCATTTCATTATCACAGAAATGAGTTTTTCTTTTCAAGCCCCTGGAGTTCATCTCTTGTGAAATCGTGGTGTTTGAGAGCCGTTTCAGATACGTGTTTATTTCTAGAAATAGAAATCTAGAAATCCCTAGAAACTCTGAACACCTGACTGTGAAACTAAAGCATATTTCCCCATAGAGACAGTGTTATGAATGGCATGGGGACCAGAAACTGAATCTTAGGTACTTTCTGAGCAAAATAGACTAAATAGTATGTATGTGTTAAATGAGGTTATTTCCGCTTGCTAATCTTCTCTCCTGGCTGATTGTTAGACCAGCCGGAAGAGCCTCGAGGGTAGAGGAAAGTGTTTTCCTGCCCGACAAACTTCTTCCAGTTGGTCACTTTTAACCGTAGCTGCCTCCTTGTTAGATTGTGAACTGGATACAATAAACAAGTGAATTTCTGTACATAGATGTGTTAGTCTGCAATACAAAACTGCATTTTACTTCCCGAGTTTGGTTTGATTGTATCAGAAGCTGATCGATGAATTAGACTAAATGTTAACTTCTCTTGACGGTGGAAGGACGCCGCTGAGTCAGTTTCCTGGCTGACTGGAGAGGGCCGGAGAGCGAGGTAGGCCTGGGCGTGAGCCACTGCGCGGAGCGCTCACCCCTGGACCTTGGACTCCTGCTGGTAGTAGCTCTGCTAATAGCACCTGATTCTCTCTCTGATTAACAGAATCGGAGGTTGTTACCAGATTAGGCCTCTGGAAAGCACTCAGTGGGTGAACTTTCTTTAGTCATTTGAATCATTGAATTATTGAATCAAAGTACATTTATTTTTTCTTTTTAAAAATTTATTAAAAAAGTTAAAAAATTTTTAAATTACAGTTGACAAACAATAATGTATTATTTTCAGGTGTATTACATATTGATTAGACGTTTATGTAACAAAAAGTGATCACCCTAAGTTTAGTATCCGTCCACCTGACACCATACGTAATTTTTACAATATTATTGACTGTATTCTCTATGCTGTACTTTACATTCCTGTGACTGCTTTTGTACCTGGCAGTTTGTCAAACATTTAGTGTATTAGTTGAATCGGGATAAATAGGACTTTCTCATTAAAAAATCCAAAAATGCAAAATGAAACGAATTCACACGCCAACATATTTTTACAGCAATAATAAGCGTAAAGGAAAGAAGTATTTTATTGTTATACATCTTAATTATTTTCTGTGTTTTAAAATAAATGTCATGCTACCTTATTTTTTAAAATGCCACCCTCACAGCCTCATCATTATTAGAGAAACAAAACTAAAATCTGTCCAACTTTAGGTTGGCAAAGAATCCAGATGATGTTATGAAAATTATTCCATCGCCCCCTATGGTTTATGTGGTATCAGGAATATATAATTTTTATTTACTGTTTACATAAATGCTTGCTATTCTTTGAGTAAATAAGTGTTTTTCTAACCTTGGTTTAAGTTTGGGGTGTATGGCTTGCTCCTATTTCCAGTTTTATTTGACTTTCAGACACAGAGTGTTTTCCATAGCTTCTGTTTGGTTTTGACCTTGGCCCTGGGGTCAACTCTCTGATGGTTCCTGCCCCTTTGATTGGCTTGGGACTTGCCAGTGTGACAGATTTATACTCACTATATTGTTTCCTTTCACAAGTAAGCATTTTTTTGAAAAAAGTTTTAAGATGGAAACTTTCAAGCCTATGCATGAGGAGAGAGAATAGAATAATAATCCCCATGTACCTGGCAATCAGTTTTAGCAGTTATCAATATTTCATGTGTATATTTTTGATAAGAGAGGTAGGCAAAGTATTACTAATGGAACAAAGACCATGAAGTGTGAAGGGCTGTAGTAATCAGACAAGAGAATTCCATTTTAATTGGTTTAAGCAATTTGAATTATAAACTTAAGAAAGATTTAAATAATTTTAAACATATAAAGTTATTAAAACTTGGATAACAAAGTATTGCTTAACAGAAAGTGAATAGAGCTTGTATTTAATTGTTATTCAGCAATACTTATGTATAGTCTTGAGTTACCTTAAAATCATTCTTGGAGGCAGGCAAGAGACAAATCATGAATAAAATACTCGTTTTCATTGTCACCTGTCATTTTCAAGAGGGTTGGTTTTATTTTCTCAGCTAGGGACTAAGAGCAGAAACCGAGTCTTTAACTTTTCTGTCTACCAGTGCCTCCACTGAATTACTTTGTTGCTTTGTAATAGCAAATAATTGTTTATTTGTTCATGATACTTCCTAAGCATTTACAAATTCTTGAAAACAGTTTATGAACTTGAAGTTTTCTTAAGTTCAAAATTAATGCCAACATTATTGATTTTATAATAAACTTTCTAATAAGGTTATTTTATAGAAAGTAAACCTAACCTGACTACAGTTTCAGTAAAGATTTAATGATAGCTATAGCAACCATAGCTATCATTTTGTTCTTGCCACCTTAAGATTCTAAGCAATTTTATTAAATCCTCGCATTGATCTTTTGAGGAAGTTTTAAAAAAAATAATCCTTATTTGTAAAATGAACCTGAGGGTTAGGGAAGAAAAGTAATTTGCCCAATGTCACATAACTGGTACTACCTAGGATTTTTAAAATACAATTTTCTGTTTGGGAAATTGTTTTCTATATTAATTAAAATGCACAATTTGGTAAAAAAACCTAATAGCTCTAAACTGAAATATTATTCATCTAATCATTAGTTTTCTTTCTTTTTGATAATAGGCTACTGAATTCAACCAATGGAAGAATGCACTATTTATCATACAGTTTCTTCTTTCCTGTTTTTTGGGGTAAGAAACCATAGATAAATACAAGCTTTGGTCGGTGGTATCTCTTGACAGGTCAAATCAAAATATGCATTCTCTCTGTTCTGTAAAAATTCCTTTGTGCTTCTCCAGTTTTCTCAGGAAAGTACTCCTGTAGCAGAGGAGTGGACTGAGATGCATGTCAGATGTCACATTCTATTCCAAACATGAGATTGCTTACTGATTTCTGAAAGTTAGTTTGAAATGAAGTTTTTAGCTGACATGTCAAATTCCGTACTGTGTTTATCTTTGTCACAATGTCCCAAGTTTTCCAAGCTCCACCTCACATAAACATGTGGAAATGACAACCATTTTCTGTAGTGCTGTACCTCCTATATTCAGGGAAACTTCTGAGAGATGTCCAGGCCATTGTATTGTCCATTAATTTTAGGCTTTTGTTCTTAATTTTTTCTTAGTTCTGTTCTCCTGTCAGGAGCCATGCAGCTGTGTCTTTCTTTTCTTTTTTTTTGGTTTTGTTTATGTTCCCCAAACTTGAAAATTTTCATGAATGGATAATACATACAACTAGCATATAATCCAAAAGCTGTTAAAGAATGCACAGGGAACGGAGCCAGCCCCCTCCCTCATTCTCATTCATCCACTCACTTTCCCTTCTTCCCTGCCCTGCAGTGTTCCTCTCCAGAGGCAATCGCTGTTGGAAGTCTTTGGAGTAACCTGCCTGGGCTGGGCTCCATGTACACAAGCACCTGTGTCTTCATCCTATATGAAAGGGTGTTTGAATGACTATCTCAGGGAATTACTTGTCAAAAGGCTTTTCCTGTGAAGAAAGATGAAATTCCTCCTTATTTTTTTAACTATGAATACTGCAATTTTAATTATGTGCACATGAACTAAGACAGCTCATGATCTCTTTGATCAATAATCAGTTTTCAAACTGCATTTAAAAAAATTTTTTTTAAATTAATCCTCACATGAGGATATTTTTTCCATTGATTTTCAGAGAGAGTGGAAGGGAGGGAAAGAAGGTGGGGAGAGAGAGAGAAACATGGATGTAAGAGAGACACATCAACTGGTTACCTCTCATGAACATCCCGACTGAGGGGTGGGGAGTGAACTGCAACCCAGGTAGTGCCCTTGATCGGGAATTGAACCCTTGACCCCTTGGTGCTCGGGCTGACACTCTAACTACTGAGCCATATTGGTCAGGGCTCAAACTGGGTTTTAATTGCATAATGTAGTCACAGAGAAGTAAAAATATTTTTGTATATCTTCCAGTTCAGTAATTCTCTCTTTAGCTGTGTCTGATTTAGTGTTTAACCTCATGATGGAGTTTTTGATTTTAACAGTTTTATATTCTATTTGTCAAAGTTTCACAGCTTTTTGTTCCAAACTTATCTGCTCATTCTTAAAATTATTTCATTGCTGATCTTTGATACTCTACCTTTTACTTCCTCAAATGTTACATGCATAGCTATTTTATGTTCTGTATCTGATGATTCCAACATATGCAGTTCTTGAGAATCTAAATATGTACTTTGCTGACTAAATATGTAGTTTGTGACTGTCATTATGGTTTGCTTTCTAATGTGTTTGGTGACGTGTGTTTGTGAGCATATTGCTTAATCTTAATCAGTCCTGTTGGCTGAAATTTGGAATTTGAGAAACTTTCCTACGGGGACAAATTGATTTTGTTCTAGCTGGTAGCTAGGTGTTGCCCCTGACCTGGACCACTTCAGGCCTTTTCGAGCGCCTGGGTTCAGGGGCCTATAGTGTTCATTCTCCCCACCTGGAGGTTGGCCCAGGGCTCAGTTTCCAGACTGTGCTGTTCTGCTATGCCTCTGCCCCTTGGCAACCTGCCCCTGCCCCACTGTCTGCTGCTCTGACTGTTGCCTGGCCCTAATTCCTTACTGCTCTGTACCCAGTACCCCCTCTTTTAAAGGGGGTGATTTTGCATGACCTCTGTGCCTCTTTGCTACTAACAATCTCTCAAATAATGTGTCCTTTCCAGTCATTGGTTGTTCTGCAATGGGAGAGTACTGAGTACTCAAAGTGCTTAGGCAGCCATTGTTGGAAGCATAAGTTCAGTAGGATATTTGTAGTTTTCCCAGTTGTTGACTGAGAACATTTAACTTGGAAAAAAAAATCTACTAAGCCATGTTGTGAGTTACCCTTTGTCAAACCATCCTTTTTCCTTTCCAGTTAAAAAAAAAAAGTTCAACCCGTGTCACACAAACTCAGACCAGCACCTTTCCCTGCCTCACCCCATTCACCTGAAAACAGCAGCGCCACCCTCTGCGGGGAGCTGTCCTGGGTAGGTGGTGTGGTCGGCAGAGCCTGGACGGGAGCTGTTACTCTCTCTCTGGGGCTGCCTATGAGAAGCTTGTCCCCATCTGTGTACAATTCCATACATCCCCTCCCCATTTAATAATGTGCTTCTTAAAAACAGATACTCTCTTGTTTTTAATACATTATTTTATCAGGAGTCACTTTGCAAATGAAAATGTCCTAAAGGAATTGTAATTATAAATAAATCAGTAAAAATGATGAAATAATTAACATTTCAGATTTTACTCAACTTTAAGGATGAAAACTTGGTAGGTCTTTTGTGGAAAGACCACAGAAGACCAGTTTTTTAAGTGGGTCTTTTGAGGACACGAAAGCCATCACACAGTCCAACAGTTAAGTGCCTAAACTCTGGAATCAGATGGTCAGGGTTTCAGTCCTGGACTTGCCAGTTATTAGCTCTGGGTCCTTGGATAAGTTATTTAACCCCGCAAAGCCTCAACTTCCTTACTTTTAAAATGGGAACAGTCCGGCCGGGCGTGGCTCAGCGGTTGAGTGTCGACCTAGGATCCAGGCGATCGGGGTTCGATTCCCGGTCAGGGCACATGCCTGGGTTGTGGGCTACAGCCGATCAATGACTCTCATCATTGATGTTTCTCTCTCTCTCTCTCCATCTCCTTTCCTCTCTCTGAAATCAATAAAGATATACTTAAAAAAAAAAGGGAACAGTGAGCTAAAGTGTCTGATTCATAAGGTGGGGTTCTGTGAATTGAATGGGTAAAGAGCACTTAAAACAGTGCTAGACACATAGAAAATGCTCGATAAGTATTAAATGTTGTTGTTGATTTTTCTGTTTCTTGAGGCGACCTGTTTAGTTTGGCTGTCGTCTTCTTTTTAATCCTCACTCGAGGATATTTTTTCCATTGCTTTTCAGAGAGAGTGGAAGGGAGAGAGAGAGAGAGAAGCACCGATGTGAGAGAGACACATCGACTGGTTGCCTCCTTGCCCGTGCACCAACCGCGCCCGGGGATCNGAGAGAGAGAGAGAAGCACCGATGTGAGAGAGACACATCGACTGGTTGCCTCCTTGCCCGTGCACCAACCGGGGCCGGGGATCGAGCCTGCAACCCAGGTACATGCCCTTGGCCAGAATCAAACCTGGGACCCTTCAGTCTGTGGGCCAGCGCTCTAACCACTGAGCCAAACTGGCCAGGGCTGTTTTTATTGATTTTAAAGAGAGAGAAAGGCAGGGGGGGGAGGCGGGGGGAGAGAGAGTAACACCGATGTGAGAGAGAAACATCGATGGGTCGCCTCCGGGACGACACTCCAACCCACGGAGCCACCCGGCCAGGGCCGCCTGTCCTCTTTTTACTCCAGACAGATTTGGTTCTCCCTATAGGCACGGACTCGAGAGTTTTCTTCTGTTGTGTATACTTTACCTTCAGTGGCCGCGCTTTAACTCTGAGCTGCTCCTGAAGGAAGCTCCGGTTTGGATGGTGGATTTTTCAGAACCCTGCTTGCTTACAGTTTCTCACTCCGAGGGCACTACGATGGGGCCATTTGCTTCCTCACAGTAATAGAAACCATTGTGAGTGTCTGAGGACATCCTTGGTTTTCAGGACAACTGGCACTGGGCTCAGGCTGTCCCTTCCCTGATTTCCCTGCTCAGGGAGCTTCTAACCCAAGGCTCCAGAGGGCTCTGACTCTCAGCCTCCTCCTTACGTCCACTGCTTTCAGATTTGCATTTCAAACTTACTTTTTCCAACCACCGAACCTCTATTACAAGTTGAAAATAAATTTAAAAAATTATAACTTTAAAAATGTAATTTAAAAGCCAATGGAATGGCAAAAAGGAGAGACTTTCCTTTTGAGATGTGGTGAAGGGCTCCGCATTAAGCGATGCTATTTGTAACAGGAGTTTGTAGATAACACACATGATGGAGTGAAGTCGTGTCAGGAAGGCAAGTTAGGTTGTGGGAGCTAAGATTGTAAAATAGACTAGATCTTAAGTTGACCAGCTGGATTTTAAAAAGCTAGTTCTGCAGGTCTTTTTAATCTTTCTGAGAAATGACAGGTTATGGTTCATTCATACAGGCCTCAGGCACCAGCACCCAGGCTCGGAGGTGATTATCCTAATCTGTTTCTGCCCCAGTAACAGGCCCTTTAATCCCACTGAAGCAGTAATGTGTTCCTTAATAAAAACACAAAAGCATCAAATTTCCCTACTCTCGGGATAAAAAAATGTTCTATTCTTTGAACTCTCATTGTTGCTACTGAGATTTGGCATCCAAGAGAAAACAGAAGGCTGCGGATTGCTGAGCTCTGGAACTGCAGACCTCAGAGATGGCAGATAGTCCCATCGTTCCCCAGCAAACGAACCTTAGTGTATGACTGATGCTGCAGGAAGATGGGCCACGTTTGTCCCATGACCAGCATCTTTGCCCATCACGGAGGCCTGTGGTTGGCGTGAGTTCCTACCAGAGATGGGCAAGATGAGAATTCTTGAAATTCTTTGAAACCTGGAATTATGGAAGAGTAATGTCCCGGGGTACCACTGTGGTTGGTGCAAGGAGTGTTAGAGTGCCTCTTATCATTTAAACATTTGTTTCGAACTTCTGTGTATGCTTGTGCATGGAATGGTAACCAGCAGCAAGTTGTAAATGAGGTCGTTTGAGTTCTGTTTGTGACTGCCACAGGAAGGAACCTTTGATCAGGGGTTCTGGTCCAGGGCTGTCCACATGAGCACCTCTATTCCTTGGGCCCTGTAAGCCAAAACATTTCTTCTGCTGTCTGAAGAAATGTGAATCACATGTATGTGCTGCTATTTTTCAAATGTACACAGGTGATAGGTGATTTAAAAATGCAGAATGGGTCAAAGCTGCTGAGTGTTTGCAGTGCTTTTAAATATCTTTGCATTTTACTCATCCGCAGGTGCTAAAGTCAAAACTATTGTTGACAACGTGAAGGTTGACTTTTTGGTGTTAAAAGTGGTGTGGTGTCCTTCGGACTGAGTTAATAGAGGTTCTTCTAGTTTAGAACCTTGGTCTTCACCAAAGGTCTGCATAGGTACTTATTTGCATATAGAAATACGTTATGTTTCTTAGAAAATAATTAATACACTATTTTGATCTTAGTGGTTTTATATTCATTCTCTTTGGGGACACCTAGTGGTTACACTAAAAAGTGCAGCCTTTCTGTCTAGATTCTGTAGGGAGAACTGCTTGCTGACTCAGACTCCCCCAGGACATGAGAGAGGAGGGCCCCTCTCCGGCTCAGCCCAGCTGGTGAGTGAGTGTCCTAGCCGCCCACGGTTGTGGTAGGTGGATATTGGAATCTTAGACCCAAGGTGTCTGTGATTCTGAGTGTGGCCAAGATAATTTCACTAAAATGTGGGATGGAGAAAATGCTGTGTGATTGGGACCCTGGAAAATGAGTTTTTAAGCAAAAATAAAGAACAGCCACACTTGTCCTGGGTTTAAGGCTGCAGTGCAATGGAGGAAGCCTGCTGGAAGCTTTTCTGTGTCTTCTGAATTGGGTTGGTCCCCTCCCCTGAGCTGTAATCTCTATGATTTTAGCAGGCTCTGAGCTCCTGCAGAGTAGGTGCTGGGGGTTCTGTTCTCTTACCCAGGGCCAGCGAAACAGGCACTCGTTAACAGCAGGCTGAGGTTTAATCTTTTTATTTTATGCATGAGTAGGATTATTTGTAGTTCCTCAGGGCTCTAAATTAATGTTGAATTTATTAAAAATATAAAAATTAAAAAACCAGAGATTTTGTTGTCTTTAATATATAAATACTGTTGTTCTATTTATAAAGCTAGTAATTTTTGTATAAACAGAATTTTACTTTCATTTTTTGATTACTGGTTTGTTATCTCAAGTTTAATTGATGAAAAAAAATCTCCTAAACAATTTACTGAAAATTAGTCCCATTTACAATTTAGTGAATTAAAAAAATTTTAAGCTTTTAAAACTGCATTTACAAATGTGCTTTACCTGGTTTCCCCCCAGTAGTTTCGGGCCTTAACGAGGCCCTGGCAAAGCTAACGAATTGATTGCTTCTCCCACTTAAGCAACTCTTTGAAATCTAATAAACCAAAGTTGAAAATGTAGTAAATCGGCTTCTCTTCAACATGTGAGTACTGTGTGCCGATTTACTCAGGTTCTCTTACTCCTTTCAAATGAGTCTAATATTAACTGCACATTTCAAATTAAAACTCTGTAGGCCGAGATGTTGGCTTCTCTCACTTGTCAAATTGTTGTAATTACCTTAATAACAAACAGTTTTCTGAGAATTATAAAATGTAAGATTGTAATTTTTATTCCTCAACTTTATGTTAAAGTGTGGTGTACTTTATCTCTAATATTTTTCTCTACCACCCCTGCTAATAAACATCTCAGGCCCAAAGCGGTGACTGTGTTGATTTGTGATTCTGATTCTGTTACCAGCAGTGAGAGATCTGGGCCCGGATGGGGACTGAGCGCTAAATTCCTGCAGGATTTATTCACCAGGTGCACAGGCTGGGTCCTTTCTTAGGTCCTGGTTCCCTCTGTTCCTGCTTTCTAACTGGGATTTAGCTCTAAAATCCAACACGTCTTCTGCTCTCTGTATTTTTCCAGTTTCATTCTCGACCAGCCTGGTTCAGGCGCATGGTGTTTTGCCCCCCACTTAGGTTGAAGCTAATTTTGTTCACTGCTTGATTGAAATGAGTCTGTTTTTGTACCTGTGATTGGATTGTAGATTCTCTCCTGGGTGTGTATATTTTCCTGTCTGGTGCTTGGTCACAATTCTGTAGTCATTTTATTGACAAGTAAGTGTCAAAATACTGGACAGTGTTGAATGCCGGTTGAATTAACTTTGGTAATAGGTACAGGAGTATCACTGACATGGGGAATCCATCACTTCAGTCTCCTCTGCCCAAAGCCAGCAGCCGCTCGCTGCTTTTCCTTTCTAACCCTGTGGTTCTCAGCACTGGCTGCACCTGAGATTCATCCCTGGAGCTTTGAGACTGAGCATGGCCNCCTGTGGTTCTCAGCACTGGCTGCACCTGAGATTCATCCCTGGCGCTTTGAGACTGAGCATGGGCCCCCCCCTCGAACCACTGGAAGGAGAACCTCTGCCAGGCCTCACTGTGTGTGAAAAGTGCACCAGGTGATTCTGATGCACAGAGGGGTTAAAAACCAGTGTTGTAACGTAGCTGTCAAACGAAAGATTTCAGGTAGGTTAGGAAATCTCATTGTTCTTACCCCCTTTTCGGGGAAACATGAATGGGAAAGAGACAGACAAAATGAAAAGGACACTTAAGGTAGAAAGTTTGGCGAATGCAAGACTGGACCGTTTTCCTGTGAAAGGTCAGAGTTGAAAAGATGTTGCCAGATGTAGGCTCTAGAATCTTTGCGGCATTCCAGCTCCCTCTGCCCCCCCAGGTTCCTGTTGATGTACTCCACGGCGCTGTGCAGCTACTACAACTCGGCGCTCACCACCGCCGTGGTCGGAGCCATCAAGGTAAGGGGCCAGGCCTCGGGGCATCTGTGGTCGGAGCCATCGAGGTAAGGGGCCAGGCCTCGGGGCATCTGTGGTCGGAGCCATCGAGGTAAGGGGCCAGGCCTCGGGGCATCTGTGATCGGAGCCATCGAGGTAAGGGGCCAGGCCTCGGGGCCTGCAATCGAATCGAGGGCTTGACCGTGAACCAGTCTCTCCCACAGAAGCTGAGTTTGATTTTGTCGTTGTCAGTGGGTAGTAAGAGTGGAGGCTTGTGACGTTTTCACCTGTGCCTGGGTGGTCACTTCTTCCGTCTTCTAATCTGATCCATCAAACAGAGGGAGACTAATTAAAAAAGGGAAGATAAATTATGATTTTTAAATCGGGGTGGTGGGAAAATGAAGTAAAAAGCTGAAAAAATGCCAAATTTGTGCGCTCACCAAAATACCTTCTTATCTACAATTCGGTTTTCTGGGCGAATTGGCCAACTAAGAAAGGGAACCCCCGTGAAGAACATGTCAGGCTAGATACATGCTCAGTTAGAAGGCGGCGCGCTCCTCGATCGCGCGGGTCTCTGCGTGTTTACATGCGTTGAACACACGCACGGGTGAGTGGGAGGGTGGGGTGCTCTGAGTTCTTCCCGCAGTGCTAGCTTTTCTAGTCACGTGAACCCCTAGGTTGAGAGGCTGCCTGCTTCCGCAGGAGGCTGTCTGTTGGCTGCCCAGAGGCCCCCCCAGTACACTGCACGGAGTGCTGCTTGGAATATATGAGATGTGTCTCCTCTGTTCAAGTTTAGAATCAATATAAGTAAAATTCACTACCCAGCGATGGTAAAGAGACGGGATCTGGAAAGTTGATTACAACCCAGCTCTTAACCTCTTTTCCTGCGTATGGACAGTGCAGTTTCCTGTGATTGCTGTGCCATAGTTCACTTCGTCTTTTTATAAAGCCTTATGTGATGGATTTTTATTCATTCATCCAACATTCTGTGGACACCTACTATGTGCAAAGTAACTAGAATATTTAGTTTCAGATTTCAGCACATACATGTATTTCCCCCCTAAATTCTTTACTTTTAAAATGACCGATCCTCTCTCTCCCTGCAGAACGTATCCATTGCCTACATCGGGATGCTAGTTGGTGGAGACTACATTTTCTCTGTGTTAAACTTTATAGGGTTAAATATTTGGTAAGTGGGTTTTTTAAATGAACTCATTTTAGCAAGATATGAATTTTAAGAAGTCTGACTAANACATCGGGATGCTAGTTGGTGGAGACTACATTTTCTCTGTGTTAAACTTTGTAGGGTTAAATATTTGGTAAGTGAGTTTTTTAAATAAACTCATTTTAGCAAGATATGAATTTTAAGAAGTCTGACTAATATGATATAAGTGAAGGAGTAGGTGTTTTGACATGACACTTTCTAAGATAATTTTACTTGAACCACTCAGTTCATCTATTTTTGCGACATACGCCCTCGTGTGGATCACGGGGACGTGCATAAGGAACACCGAGGGGCTGAGATCTGAATTTAATTCACGAGCCTTCCTCCTGGAAGAGCCCCCCGCGTCATCTGCCTTCTCTTGTGAAGGGGGCCTCGCTAGACTTGTGCTCTGTCGAGGCCCCATGTGGCAAAGATATTGGGAGGAGTGACTGAGGTACTTTTAAAAGGCATTTTGGGGTCCCAGACATGGGGCACTATTTTAGGATAATAATGTAGAGTTTATTCAGTAATAACCAAGTGTGTATTTTCTCAACATGTTTCTGTATCAGACCTGACCTACTCTTTTTTCCCTGCCCCAAAAGATTTCTGAACTAAGGGGTAATTCTCATCAAGTGATCTACGAAGGAGGAAAAACGGGGGTGGTGGTGGTGCTCAGTATTTCCCTTCCATTAAGCCGACTGCATGTAGCGAAATGGCAGCAAGTGCTGGTGTTTTCTTTATCCCCACCCTCTCTTTCCCCTTTCAGCATGGCAGGGGGCTTGAGGTACTCCTTTCTAACCCTGAGAAGCCAGTTAAAGCCTAAACCTGTGGACGAAGAAAACGCCCCTCCGGACTTGCAGAGGGGTGCTTAGCCGCCCGGCCCACGCGCAGGCCGGGGGCTGGGGTGGTTCCCTGACGCAGGAAAGTGGAGCAAGCAAAGGAATGTCTGCAAAGAGCAAAGAGAATCTACCTCACATGCGCTGCACAATGAGCCACTGTCGCCGGAGACGCGTGTCTGGGCAGAGCCTTACCAGCCGCAAGTGAATCTTCTGGAGATAAGCCCGAGGTCGACGGGATCGTCTCCAGGGCGCTGTGTCCGTCCCTCTGCTGTCACGGCGCCGCGTGTGCTGAAGGGGAGGCCCAAGGTCGGCGCCCTGAAGGTGACAATTTTCTCACCAGCACCTTCGCCTTCATTTTGAAGGTCCAGCCAAAGCGGAGTGACAGCGAGAGCATGTTGCAGTTTAAACAGACATATCTTTATTTTCATAAGGGCCAATTCCCTGCCGTAGAGTTATCTGTTAGCTTCGATTTGATCTTACACGTTGGTGTCTTTTCCCGATCATCAAAGTAAAATAAAAAATCATTTGTATGCATGCCTCCTGCTGTGTGTGATATTGCGGGAGATAGGCAGGAAACAGTCCGTTCCCCACTCTGCCCTGAAGGTATATTCCTTTTAAGATCTGAGTTGGGAAAAGTTACAGAATAACTCGATGGAACATGCAAGACTTAGTGTGCCCCGTCAGCCTGGAAGTCGGTCACATCTCTCATCTCCCTCCCGCTGTGTTCAGGGAGCTGTGAAGCTCAGGCGATGTGGACCTGAACCTCCCAGGCCTGTGGGTGCGCGAAGGGCCTGAGTGGATGAGAGCTGTTGTTATTGTCCATCGAGAGGTGTGCGGTCCCCATGGGGTGGTGGTGCAGGGCAGGCCTCAGTCTGAGCGACGGGAGCCCTTCCTTCCAGTCTTGTCTGCACTGCTACCCACCGAGACCGCACGGGTCACCGTGCGTTGTGGCCTCCATTGGTTTAACCTGTAAAATTGAACCAGGGCTTCAAATTCCCACCAGCTCTAACCTTCTAAGTTTCTAGAAGCTGAGCCAGATGTGGCCAGGGCAGCAAATGAAGGAACCATTGTGTTGACCTGTTGTTTCAATTTACTTAAAAAAAAAATTACAAAAATTTTAATTGTAAAATACTCATAAAATTTACTATCTTAACCATTTCTGAGTGTACGGTTCAGTAGTGTCAAATACATTCACATGTACAGCCAATCTCCAGAAAGAACGTTTTCAGCTTGCAAACTGAAACTCTATGCCCACTAAACAGTCACTCCTTCCCCACTCAGCACCCGTCAGAATTTCCTTCCTTTTAAGGCTGAGTAATGGACCATCATGTTGATAAACCACGTTTTGTTCACCCATTCAGTGGACGTGCTATCAGTGGACATTTGGGTTGCTTCCACTTGGCCGTTTGTGAATGATGCTATGAACATGGGTGTACAATTATGTCTTTGAAACTATACTTTCAATTCTTCTTGGATATTATTTTTTAAACCCTTATTTATTAATTTTTAGAGAGAGGGGGGAGAGAGAATGATTTGTTGTCCCACTTATTTTTGTATTTGTTGGTTGACTCTTGTGTGTGCCCTGATCAGGGATCGAACCCACAACCTTGGCGTATCGAGACAACGCTCCAACCAACCAAACTACCCGGCCAGGGCTCTTGTTGGAGATTAAAACAGAAACTTGTTTCCTCTACACACAAAGCACTTCTGACACCAGATGTGTGAGGTTTGTGTTTTTTCACATTCAGCTCTTCAGCTCTCTGGCACCAACTGGGTGTCTTAGAACTGAATTCTGATCCTGCCCTCAGCTGTACAGAACCCCCGGGCTACGGGCTCAGTCCCTCAAGACTGCCCTGCCTCACTTCAGATGCCAGTCCCAGGTGCCAGGCTGTGACCGGTGCTTCGGACTAGCCAGCATAAACCGGGGCTTTCTCCTTCCTTGGGTTCAGAAATTGCTAGAATGGCTCACAGAACTCAGGGAAGTGCTTTACTTTCTATTACCAATTTATTGTAAAGTACGCAACTCAGGAGCAGCCAAAGGGAAGCGATGCATAGGACAAAGTGCGCGGGCGATGGCCTGGAGCTCCCAAGGCCTCTCGGCCTCTGCTCTCCCCGCGCACGTGTCTCACCAGCCTGGAAGCCCCCAGAGGCCATCTTTAGGCTTCGTTACTCTTAGTCCCAGCGACCCGTGGGCCACAGCTGTCCCGCTTCACACTCCTGCACAACAGTGCACAAGGTTTCCAATTTCTTCACATCCTGTCTAACACTTGCTATTTGTTGTTGTTATTTTTTCGTAGTAACCATCCTACTGGGTGTGAGGGGGTACCTCATTGTGGCTTTGATTTGCATTTCCCTGATGATCAGCGATGTTGAGCGCCTTTTTCAGTGCTTATTGGCCGTTTGTATGTCTTCTTCAGAGAAATGTCTGTTTAGATCCTTTGCCCGTTGGGCTGTTTGTTTTTTGTTGTTGAGTTGTAGTTCTTCATTGTTTCAGTTTTCTTTTTAAAAGGCTTGTGGAGTGGGATCTTGGGGCTCCCAAGCTGGGGTAATCACCGTCTCTTGCATCATCAACATCATTTCTGAAACCCAGAGACCAAAATGCTAAGATTTGAAAAATGTAAACATCAACTCCTCTTTTATTCAATGACAAAAAACAAAAACAAGTTTTTGCTCTCTTCCAAAAATTTTTTCTAACTTTTATTTTTAGAATTTTTAAAGAAAATTGCTTTTGTGTTTTTTTTAAAGTTTTAATATGGTCATTTTTTTTTTTTTTTATAGCTAGGATGCTTGGTGGTGGAGCTCTTATTAAATTTTTTTTTTTTTGCAATTACCCAAATACCTTTCTTTGCCTTTTCTTAAATGACCCTCTCTTTACCTGTGTGGAAAGACTTCTTCTCTGGCTTCCATCTGTGGCCAAGAGAGGGCACCTGAGAGCAGCCAGCAGCCCTTGAGCTGGCTTGAAACTTGCAATTTCTGCTCTATGGCTCAAGACCTAGATTCCCGAGTTGTGGGGTTGATGGCAGCTGCAATCCGGCTTTTAAATTAAGGTTAGTTGAGGGTGCTGGATGCGGAGAGATGGACAGAAGGGATCCATGAGCTCCAAGGAGCCTGAAGAAGTAAAGTAACCCAATGCCTCAGGTCTCCAGATTTTTTTTTCTTACTAAAAAATCATAAATACCGCTCTGGATGGGACAAATAAAACTATCCTTATTTTGCTTATTTTTGGCTATTGTACTCTAATAACAGCAACTTATTTGTTAACTTGGATTTTTTTTCTGCTGTTTAAAATTTTTTTTTCTGTATATTAAATATATCTCAAGTATAGAGGCACTGGAGTTTTGTGACAGCAGAACTTGCTTCAACAATGGAACCTAGTTCAGAAACTAAGTTTGTATATTTTATATATTATATAATATATATTATATATAACAATGTACTTACAAAATTTTATTTTATATATATTCATTCTCTGTGCCCTCAGGAAAATGAAGGTACATATGTCAATAATTTCAGAACCTTTAGTTGCTTTTTTCCTTTTGCATAATCATGTCAACTTTGAAATCCTGGTGAGTCCTGTTTATGACTTGTGAGTCAGTTTTGTGCTCTCTGAGTGGATGTGCGTACTTGTGTGGGACTTGCCAGGGTTCAGCAACTTAGTGATCAGCAGCTGTTACTCCCTGGTAGTTTTCTGGAAACAGGGCGCCCGGCAGCTCAGAATCGCCCCATTTCTGTCATTGACCCTGAAGCACATGGAAAAGCACAGCATGCTCTTTTAGGATGAAGCCAGGTGAAGTCCCCAAGCCATTCCTGGGGACCTCCTGGGTCAGGAAATGCCGTCTGTGACTTCTGACTCTCACCTCCACTCCAGGTTGGGGTCTCCCACCATGAGCCTGGGAGCCTTCTCTCCACATCGCGTGCTCCCCGGGCCAGAACCTCAGCAGTGCCCGGGGCTTGTGAGAAATGCAGGGTCCCGGGGTGCACACGCGGAGTCAGGGCCTGCATTTGTAACCTGGTGACTTGAGAAGCGCTACGCCGGGCCATTGGTCTAGACCATACTTTTACTGGCAGGGGTTCTTAACCTCAGTTCACAGGATTTAGGGGGCTGGTGAACTTGGGTGGGAAAACAATACATCTTGACTTTCCCTAACCAAAATTTAGCATTTATTTTCATTTGAATGTAGGCACAAACACAGTAGTATTAGTTGTACTTGTGACTTTGTTATCAATAGAAGTTGGGATATTTTCATATCACCTTATAGTTTTTATAGAAAAATCATTTATGCCCTGCTCAGTATTTTGGTAGATATTAGAGCCTCCACTGGGTCTTGTTATTCAATATGTTCATAAAGAAGCGTACGTTGGTACATCATATTTAGAAAATTTTGTGACAACATTTTTGTAATCGGTTTCCTTTATACTTTTACGTATTTTATGCATTTAAAAATTATTTGGAGAAGGTGGCTCTAGCCATCCCTAGACTGCCACTGTGGCCTGCAGCACTGAAAAAGGCAAGGACCCTGCCTCAGAGGGAAAGAGGAAATTTCAGATTATTATGTTTTCTCGGAAATATTTCCATTTTTGGCTTTAGTGTCAGTGGAGGTTTGCTGTCTGAATGGGTATAGATGAGCCCTGGGCATCTTTTTGCATCAGACATGGTGGGAAGGGGTCATCCTCCAGCCAGTGGTGGTCAGCTGTCTGCAGCTGGAGGGAGGGAGGGGTAGAAGGAAGGAGGGAGGGGGAGAGCATGAACTGGGCAGCTGGACGTCACTGCCATACCTCCTCCCTGAAAGGTCAGACAGAGCTGTGCGTCCTCACTGTCCCTGTACAGAGCTGGACTCTTCCCATCCTGTGTGGCTGCCTATCCGGAGCGCGGTGCTAATAGTCTGTGAAAGTGGGGTGACCACATGAGGGGCTCTGTGAACCCACTTCCCAGTGAAACAAGCAAAACTAAAGAAAACTGTTAAAAAAACGTAAGATCACTGGAAATTGTCCTAAGGGCATGTAGCAAATGAAGAAACATTGATTCAAGGAAACCTGGTAAAACTTGGTAAGAACAGTGAGAGTGTGGCCTTTGAGCCGTGACCCAGTCGCTCCCCCTTCCCTCCCTCAGCTCAGCTTGAAGGAAGCCCCCCCAGGTGGGTGTGGCCAGGGAGAGGGAGCTCAGCTCTTCTCAGCTTCCAGTCACCTGTCACTGCACCTGACCAGGAGGGGCAGGCCACCAGCATTTCTCATCTCTTCCAAGTTGAAGAGGCTCAATTACTGGTGAGTGCAGCTGGGGGATAGGGCCACTCTCTACCAGGCCCCTACCCATAGGATGGAGGCTCTATCCCAGGGGCAGTAGGCCAAGAATACTGAGTTCTCAATCACTCTTGCCCCAACTTGATGGTAGGGCAGAGGTCCCATGCTGGGGAGAGGCAAGC